GCATCTGCATAAAAAATACATAATATATTATTAGCCACAGACGCAACAGACACACAACAGAGCACTGAGCCATCGATTATAAATACAATGATTCACATGATTTACAATCATATGATGATGAAGATGGTCTGACCGACTGGCATTGCATGTCCTCCTTCTTACGGTTTTCGTTTACGATTGAGATTTGATTTAGCTGCATTGAAGTGTAGAAGACAACAGTCTGGTTACTTAATGGTATTTACACAAATCTGATGTAAGGCAAACAAAAACTGAAAATATGTTTTGAAAATCTTATGGGAAAAGGATTTTTTTAAACAAAATACTATATTGATGCGAAGGTTCAAATCGTTCATAAACATTATGTTTAGGTATATTATGAGATTTTAAGGTGAGTCAACGATTACCATCAACATCAAATGCGATCATTTGTAATATCAGATTGGGCAAATATATGAACCTTATTTGATACACTAGCCCTGTAGTTTCTCGACAGTATGGTCTAAGATGCAATAACAAACACGGTATATGTCAATTCTCATTCTAATCTGTAACAGAGCCCTACCGCTGCTGCAGCAACAACTCTCTATAGAATAGATGATCCGGCATTAATAATGATGTACCACACGACATATATATTATTTGACAAAGAAGCTATGTGGCTAAAATTGTGAATGGTGTTTATGGTTCCGATACTGTAACAGCCAATTATGAGCAATTTTGGTTTCGTAGATTCCGTTCAGGATTTTTTGGTATTAAAGATGCACCTCGGTCGTCGAAAAAAATTGGTATCTAGATTAGATTCATCTACTGAAGATGTTAATAGCTAAAGTTTTCGGTACTATTTTGGAGTGGTCAACATATGTCGCATTATTTTCCATAGATATATCTACCTCTATAAGTGACTATTGCAGTTAATATTCTGACTATTATTTGCATATTTGGATCACAGACCAAAATACCGTTTCCTTTGCTTCACCTTTATATCTTTGGACATCTCTCTCTAGATCATGAAGATCTCTCCTGACGTGCCCGGGCGGGGGAGTTCTGACCATAAGCGATGATGTTGTAGAGCTGATTTCCAGCAAATTCGCTGTTATCCAAAATAGGTAATATGTGAAGATCGACAGCAATCCTTATATCGGTTGCTCCTATAAACTCTCCTCAGGGTTCCAGGTCGTAGTGACATAAAGGAACGAGCTTGCTTATCTGGACCGCAGTTAATCGATATAACAATTTATACCAGTGTTATGTCTCCCCTACTTTTTTTGGCAATATCAGAAAGATGTATGAGAAAGTAACAACAAGATAGAATAAGGAATCTTAGTGTAGGACCTCAAAATCTATCTGGCCGGTAATTTCTTAGGGTAGATCTAAAACATCAGTTTCTATGAACAGGAAAGACATAAAGATCACTGTAGGGATCATAATATACCAATACAAAATCTGATATCTTTTTTTCAAAAACTGAGATTAACCCTTTGTGGCCCAATGGTGCCCATAGGCAAAAAAATGTTTTAGAGCTTGTATTTAATATGCAGCTGCTAAATGTAAATTTTTTGGATTATACACGTTAAGAGCTGATTATGGGCGACACATATTAAAAGAAAATAAAAATCTAATTTTTGGCCAAGTTATACGCTTTTCAAAATATAAATGAGTGCAAAAATTTTAGTAATTAGGGCTCAAAGGGTTAATAAGGTGGAGATGGGGAAGAGGAAACCTATATGTACTTGGTCGGTGCCTCATGCTACGATGCAGAGTGCATGCTTTTTTGGTAAATTTCGGATAGAAACACTAAACTTTTTCTCGAATGTAGACCCCAAAAAAATTTACAACTATGCTAGAAATTTGTCATAGTTGAGTTGACAGTTTATCAACTGTACTACTTCTTCCTATCATCATTATCTTTCTGGCTTCTCTATTCTGCAACGTCTATGGACAATATGTCTCCGAGTGGAGCGACTGTTTATACAGTTAGATGTCTCTCTGTTGGGGTTGGGTAATACTCCCTATTGCATTGACAACATTCTTTAGTACATATACGTGGATAAGAACATCACCTAATATTCATGACCCAATGATGTTACAGGACACAGCTCTCAGGGCGACATTCTGACAGATTTGAATGTTCATTCGCAGAGTATCTTTACATTGCCTATATTTCTTAATTTATTGAGTTTGATCGCTGTAAATATATAACGAATGATTTTTTTCAAATATCCTCACAGACTGAAATGAATTATATGAGAATTAGGTTAGGATGCTTTCCTGACTAAGAAGGAATGACCCACTGCATAATTAAACTGAAGTTCAAGATATTATTTCTTCTTTTTTTTTTTTTTTTTTATCGTACGTTCCCACGCCTCACTTTCCCACCCCTGCCGACCGAGGGGGCGACCTCCCCTTTCGTAGGGATCGCGTACGCATCATAATCCGCATTATGATGGAATATGAGAAGGGATAGAAAACCAGCTACAGAAATCTACTTCAACAGCCAGTTTGTTATTAAGTTGTATTATTCATTTAAAAATATGATTATATTAGATTTTATTAGGTCTATATTCTTAGACTATTAGTAAAGGAAACGTGGTTGTGTCAGCTTATACACCAATTGTGATAGTTATGAATGAGTTTACAATGGAAACCCAGTATCAGTCAAAATAATTTAATGGATGAAATGATATCGACCATGACATAGCCTTATAATATGCGATACTTGTCAATATATTGAAGCTATCCGGGAGGTCACTCACACCATTCTTCCGAGACCCTAACCCAAGATAAGCTAAGCAATGAGTAATTTCCAAAACGTTTTTGGGATGATCATCATCATATTTGTTTTAATAGACATTCACTGCAAACCGTGAGACAATAGATAGACAATGAACCCCGTTTTATTGATCTTAGTAATTGTGCAATTTAGAGTGCATAAATTTCCAGTTCGTCGATAAAGATATCAATAACCCTATATCAATGAATAATTATGGGTTTAAACTTTCCATCTAATACTCCAAACTCTTTGAATTTTTTTATATTAATAAACCCTAGATAGCATTTGTCCACTCTTAGAAATAATTTTCGTAAAACTGTGCCATGATTTAGAGATTTGTTTTCTACAATTATGTAGTCTGCTTTTTGTGAAGATTTAAAGTTCTCTGTCCATAGGAGAAAGTCTCAAATCCCCGGTGAAAGATCAGTCACCCACAACAACTATATCAGTGGAATTTTGTAAGTCCACGTCTAAGGAAGTATGGGCCTATCCAAAAATATAGGTATATTTTTTTTAAATCAAATTAAAACAGGTACCGAAAATAACAGTTATTTTTTAAAATGCGAACAAAAAACTCTTCATGTTAGAGGCATGGGACACCTATAGTGTCACATATACCAATACATTCGTATTGAGGAGCCCATTAAGGATATTGGGTGATCTTGAAAAAACACCCTCAGTTTTCATGTTAATACTTATTATTCAACGGAAAAAATTAACGTTGTTTTTTAACTGTTAAAAATGATTTTAATTTTTTCCGTTAAAAATAAAACTCTTTTAGGAATTAATAAAAATTAAGAAAAAATACCAACTTGGGCTAAAAAATACCAATATCGAAAAGTGTTCGAAAGATGTTATCAAATACTTTTTTCTCTGAAAACAAAAAACATTTGTCTACTTAATCCAGACCATAAAACCCACTTTAAGAAATGATCCGTATATCAAATTCTGTAATCTTTAATCATACTTTGAACAAAATGTATAGACAGGACAATACAACATCGAAATTCTTATCGAAAATGTGTGGCAGGTAAAGTATTTTGAAATACGGACATGGTCAATATTGAACTTTCCTAAAGATAAAATATCTAAATACGTATAAAGTTCTTTCTTTTATCTAAAATATTTGCTCGAGATTTATATCAGCCCAGACTTGAAAGCGACATGCTTCTTCGTTTCTTGTTAGGCACGTATAACGCACAGCGGTGTTTTTAATTTGTCAAATAATTCATTTCCATATTTTTTTTTGTTTTGCTTCCAAAAATGTACAAAAACAATTATGGATAATAGATTCACACATTTCTGTTTGTCGTTCAAAATTAACAGCGACAAAACAAAAAAAGATTGGGAAGATATTACAAAAAGACCGGGAATCCATCTATCTACAAATTGTTTGTTTAAAGCAAATTTTTTTTTCAAAATTTAGTTTTTGTTACTTAATAAAGTAGGAAAAACAAAAACACAGCTACAACAACAACAAGTCACTGGACAACGCAAAAGGGGGAGAAAGACAACTCTAAAGAGAAACAACAACAAAAACAAATTTTCGAAAAAAAATGTGTACTACCCACAACCCGCATTATGTCAACCCAACTAATAAGTAGAATATAGTGGATGAATAGAAGGCGGTCGGACGGACGGACAGACAGGCGAATGAACCAACCAACAAAAAAACAGGCAACTAGGCAGCGAGACTGTCAGTCAGACAGACAGGCGGTCGTTTGTTGTTTAGTCGCACGTCTCACATTTATGTGTACTGGAGTGTGTTCGTGTGTCAGCCTGTGTGCTGCGCTCCATGTTGTTGCATGAATTTGTTTTTCTTTTTTTTTGTATCACTTTTCCTTTGCACTTTGTTATTGTTGCTATTATTTTTTGTTCCTATTCTAGTTCTGTTAGTAGTGCTTGAGGCAGTGGCGGCTGCTGCTGCTGCACCACCACCAATCTCTCTGACTGCAGTGGAAATTTGGGCGGAGGTTGCCGCCACCGTTGTTGCACTCGCTCAGACAGGCTCTAATGACAAACGGTGCCATTAATGGTTATTTCTTAATGGAAAAAAGCAAAATTTTTGGCAATTATTTATCCTCCCTCGCACACAAAATCTGTCACTCCCTCCTCCCCCTCCTCAAAAAAGTTGGGGGATGGAGAGTGCATACCAATTAAGTCGCCTCCAAAAATATAAAAAATGTATTTAAAATAAATATTAATTCGCAAAAATCTGGTGAAATTTTACCTTTCCTTTTTTGTATAGAAGTGGGGTTTGCTAGCGAGTGTATAATAAATATATATGTTTGTGTGTGTATGTTGTTCTTGTTCGTCGTCGCCGCTGCAGACGTCGTTGTATATAGTTGTGGAGTCGTCGTCGGTCTGTCGTTGATTGTTAATCCTCTTTGTTTTTTTATTTTTTCGTCTCCTTTCTCTTCCACTGGCGACAATGAATTGCAACTGAATTTCTTGTTGTAATTTCTTCGCACTTCAACACTTTTATCCTCTCTGGGATTTCTTTTATTCGCTTAAATTCAATGGAAATTTTAATATTTCTTTAAAATATTTGTATTATTCTTTCAGTATTCCGTTCACTTTTTAGTTTGCACAATTTGTTTCACTTTTTCTTCCCCCATTTGAAAACAGATTCAATATTCTTTCCTCACTTCACACTTTTCACTATTTTCCCAACTGCTGCTTAGTAGATTCATTTAGGTTCTGGAACGGAGCTAAAATAAAAACGACGACTGAAAAAATGAAAAAAATTGAAAAACGTTCCATCTGCTAACGAATGGGAGGAGAAGACAAAATGGCCGATAAAGATGAACTCAAAATGGTTAACCGAAAGTTTACGAATGAGGTGGAATGGAGACTAAATGGAAAACCGTGTAAATCGACTTTCGATTAATCGAATTAATCGGCTTTTTGTATTGAAAGTCTAATGCCAAATTCGTGGTTCGACCCTTAATTATGAAGTAATTACATAGTTCCCCATACAAAATTGTCTGAGCGAACACCGACTTTTGTACGTTGTTCAATTCGAATCACTCTCTGAATAACCAAGAAATTTGTCCCATCCCTAACTATTGAGAGTATTTATCGAAAATAAATTAATTTTGACAGCATGAAAATATTTATAAAATTTTCAAACTTTGTAGGGTAGATTGGTTGAGATCCGGAACGAAAACTAGACCATTGGAACTTTTCCAGGAAAGGAACGATCGGAACTAGTTCCAGTACTTTAACTAATTTAATTAATATAGTTCCTTTTTCTGATCCAGTTCCTTTTTTGAACTATTTGAAGCCAAGGAACTATATGGAGCAAAGGAACTATTTGGAGCAAAGGAACTATAAAGAGCAAAGGGACTATTTGGAGCAAAGGAACTGTATGGAGTAAAGAAACTATATAGATCAAGGGAACTATTTGAAGCAAAGGAACTATAAAGAGCGAAAGAACTGTATCGAGTAAAGGAGCTATAAAGAGCAAAGGACTGTATGGAATAAAGGAACTATATGGAGCACAGGAACTACATTAAGGAACTAGTTCCTTTAAAAAAAAATGAACGAGAAATATCGATCTGCTACATGAACTAGATTGCCCAACTCTACTATTTTCCCAACTGCTGCTAAAATTTTTCTCTTGTTCTTTCGGTGTTTAGGGTTAAATAAGTCGAAAGGTGGTGTAATCGATGCCAAGTCGATTGTTGGGAGAATACTAAATTATCGAATAATCGATTTGTAGGTAATCGTTAGAACAATGACAGAATTAACAATTGATAGTCTAATTTTAAATACTCTCCCGGCATGCCGCATCATAATTGTATATTGTGATATATGTGTGTATGTTGTTTCTTCGTAAAAACGATTCATAACTCGTAAGCACGATTATTTCTTTTCTGTGTCGACCTACATATCCCTAAAAATCACATACACTATACACCCTCTTTATTTCTCGTTTGACAGTTCATGCTAGGTTGTAATGACGGCTGGGTTGCATATAACAGCTGTTTAGTTGCTTTGCCAATGACAGGTCGCTTTTACATTGTAGACGTAATTACACGCATTAGATTGATTTTTTAAATATTTAAATGAAAAGGTGGATGTCTACAATTGAAAATTAAAAAAAAAAAAATGAATGAATGGCAATGCCTTTTAATATATTGCAGACCAAATCCCAATAGAATATTGCGGAATTTTGTTTAGAACTAGTAATTTGGTTATCACTTGGGCATTTTAACCAGATTAACAGGGTTCTTGCTACGAATCATTCTTAATCATCAGGCTGGAGTAATTCACTCTATCTTGCCTCTACAGCCTAGCTCGATCGAGATAGTCTACATTTAACAGATTGGTGCAAAAGTGAGGTTGATCATTTAACTCGGGGTTTACACATGCAACATCTGTAAGCAATTGTGCCGAGTTCTTTGGAGAGAGAGAGATATGTAAAGTGACAAGGTGGAAGAAATTCAAAAGAAAATCGTAAAAAGTAGCAGTAGAGTTACTTAAACACTACTGGTGACCAGAGATACTAAATATATTAAAAACACATGTTTCCTCATGTGTCTAGAATGCTCAATATACTGTTATTTAGAGGGCAAAGTTATATGAGTCTATACCAAAGAGGGAATCAATATTGAATACCACTGAACGGAATGCCTAACGGGCGATGTCTAAATGTGAACCCATACATATCTTATTTTCGAACCGAATCATTATATATCACATTTTCGAACCTGACCTTTTAGTTTTGTATCTCGATAACATCTAAAAATTGCAACATATGTAGAGTCGGATGGAAATGGTTAAATCGTCTTAGAATATGCAGACAATTTCGAGTTCAGAATATCTCCCATTCTATCTTCGAATACAGTTATATAACGCTCGAAACTACTCAATTATGTATTTTAATATAAATCGGTAAGGAAAGTAGTAAAGTCGGACGGGGCCGACTCAATGATACCCTTCACCACTTTGGGTATATTCAACAGATGAATCCTAACAAACGTCGCATTTTTAAAAAATTTAAAATTAAAAATGAAATTGGATCCATAAACATGCCATTCTGCAACCTATACTCAATTTTTCATTTGTACAGATATAGAGTTGTTTCTTAAAATGGGACAAAATTATGTAAATCAATTTAAGGTGACAACACCCCCCCCCCCCCCATTTTCGGGGTCAAAAAATTTTTTGACTTAATTCGAATCTACACTAATTCAAGAATGTGCCTACAAAATTTCAAGTGAACATCTCAAGAACTCTTGAAGATATAGCCGATCTATTGTGTCAGCATCAAGTGACGGCTAAAGGGCTTCTCAAACTTTAAACGCGTTTTTCTCTTTTGCGAATGGCGGGCACGATAACTCAAAAACTAATAACCCAATCCTTTCCAAATTTTAACACGTTTCTCTGTGAGTGTATACCTATCGTATGAACTAGGATAAAGCCAATCCTTAATTGTTAACTTGGTTTTTGGTCAAAAATCGGCGATTTTCCAAAATTTTTTTTTCAAGAGTCCGCCATTTTTTTAATTTTAGATCGAATAATCCTAGTTCATACGAGAGCCAGACATGTATTCTTTCTTTCGGACACCCATTGATTATTTGGATAAATATTTGATAAACATGATTGATCGAAACTTGTCACAGGTTAGGTTATACCAATTTCAGTATGTTTTGAGTTCTAGGTGCATCAGTTACTTAAAATCGGGAGAAAATAAATATGCTAGCTCTATCTAAATTTGAACCGATTCAGTACGCTATGCCAAATTTTGTGCAAATCGATAGATATATAGGGTCTTTGGTACATCATTTCCATTAAATCGGACGAAAATAAATATGGGAGCTATATCTATATCTGAACCGATTTTAACGAAACTAAACACACATCATTTCAGACTTAATTCAGTACGCTATGCCAAATTTCGTACAGATCGAAAGATATATAGGAGCTTTGTTGCAAAATTTACCTTAAATCGGACAAAAAAAATATATGGGAGCTATATCTAAATCTGGACCGATTTTCACGAGACTTGACACACATCATTCTAGAAAGATATATAGGGGCATTGGTGCATCATTTACCTTAAATCGGACGAAAATATATGTGGGACCTATATCTAAATCTGAACCGATTTTCCCCAATTTCAATAGGGTTCGTCCTTGGGCCAAACAAATGAGGTGTACCAAATTCCATTCCAATCGGATTATAAATGCGACCTGTGCTTTTTTTTACAATTTAACACCAACTGACGGATAGACGGACGGACATGCATAAATCGACTTAGAAAGTGATTCTATGCATATTCTCAAAAGGAATCATGTGTCTATCTCGTTTCCTTTTGCCTGTTACAAACATATGCACAAAGACATAATACCCTGTACCACAGTGTGGTGAAAGGTATAAACATGGGGTCTAAAAACAATATTTCGATGAGGCACATTTTCAGCGTATCAAATCGTATATACCCTTATTAGCCATAAGGCTGAGGGTATAATAGAAGAATTATAGTGACTTTAATGGAATGTAACGATTTTATAGTATAGAAACTTTCATTTTTCAGTGTACCTTGTATGGGAGATATTCTGAAACGAGGATTAACAGCTAAATTGTAACATTTCCAATTTTCATCGAATTTGAGTGAATATTATTTTAAAAAGCAAAAAATCGAAATTTTGAATACCCATTGTATGGAGGTATACCAAATCTTTTTACGATCTTTCCATTTTTTTATTGGAAGTAAAGTGACATTTTCAAGAACTTGTTTTATATACGTAGATGAAAAATACCAGATGTCATTGGTGTGTTATGGTGGGAGGAATACAAGGACTTTTCTACATTATTATAGGTCCAACTAATTTAAATTTGGCCAAACTGCTACTGAAAGCTTTTCGTTACATTGTATTTAAATATCCTAAAACCCAGTGAGGGAGCAGTATAGCTGGACGGGGCCGACCACATGATACCCTACACAACTACCACTTCTTTTTATACTTGTTGGAAATTCCGTATCATCCAAAATTCCTTTTGTTATAAAAGAAATATTGCATATGAAATTTTCATTCATGGTTTTAAATTCCAATTAACTTTTCGATGTTTCATACTTTGTCCTTTCTATATATTTTTCAGAATAAATACGACCGGTAAAAAAATCTAACTACCAATTAAAAAATAATCTATTTCTGGTATACTCTTACTAACGTATTTTCATTCTCCGTGGCACTTACACAATCCATATGTTCATATATGTACATATATGTATGTTTATCACAT